TTTTGTGAGGACAAAATTAATTACATTTGCCACTGTTATAAAAGTAGACCTTCTAAGGATCGTAAATCAACCACCCAATAATACGCTATTGATGTACAGTTCGGGATGATAAAACGCTCTCTTAAATCAAGCGAAGGTAGACAGAAACCTAATGTCTGCCGATCGATAAAATTTGTAAGTTCTTCTTGTGTAGGATGTTTGTAATATATCAACGCACGCTTTTGAAAGCTAATAAATATCACTGGTTCACGAGGGTAGAGTCCCATTAGTGTGATGGGTATCGTGCTGTGTAGCGCTATGGAGGCACGGTAGTACAGTGGTAGGACGACGGGCTCGTGACTGAAGGGTTGCGGGTTCGATTCACGTCACGACACTGTGTTGTATCTTTCAGCAATATACTTTACCCCGCTTACTCCAGTCTACTCAGCTGCAGATGAGTACGTGGTTGGACTGTGCTAAAATTGTTTAATGCTAGCTGTGAGCGCCAAAATGGCAGCACCGGCTGTATGCTCCCCAGTGATTTGAGAAAGATATCGCATGGTTGCAAAGGCCCAATAACCACGGATATTAATTTGTGAACCGCTTTGAGACGACCTCGAATTATTATCAATTTCATTATCATTATTTGACTCTCCAGTTTATACACCTCTAATAGAATAAGTCTTTGATTTAGAACCCAGGTTATCGTCAACGAGATTTCATATTTCCTCCTATACTACGTAGTCACACAGGGACCGGATAATTTGTTACAGCTATTTTTAGACGTTAATTAAGGTGTTCAGAGTAATTTTACACCATTTAGGGGATTGAATCAACTTTCGGTAAAAATGACACCCCCAAATGATGATATAAACGTGCTAAATTACTCTGACACCTAAGTTCAGGTCCAAATATAGTTGGAACAAATTCTCAGGTCCCTGTGCGTAGTCCAGTGCCGAATGCCTTAATTTTACCGGGCGGAACGACTAACGTAAGAGTACCCAAAATATAACACTTTTTAAAGAAAATATTAATATTTCCTACTTTTAAAATTACTGAAACATCCTGTTTTACTACAATAGTATAGCAAATGATGTCTTTATAACAACAGTGCGTGGATCCAGTTTGGATGTTTTAGCAGACGGGGTAGGGGAGACCGGCACCAGGGCAAGTTCGGCCCATTTATTATTTAGGTCGTTCTGGACAGTATCATATTTGTTGAAATGTATGTGCATGTATACCGCTTTCATAAAATAATAACAAAAGGTCAAATACTTACGTATTTAAAGAACTATTAAACTTTTCTGTCGTAAGATTGGATGGCCGAACGTGCCCCACGTGTCATAAAGCATGCATGCGCAACGTCAGATTTTCCCGCCAATTTCACGACTTTCCATGCGTTGCATGGACAAAACCTTACCTGAATTGATATTTCAATAAATTCGTGTATTACAGCAATACGGAAGTCAGTGCTTAGTTTTTATGTACATCATCATGTGAAGCTGTCAGTGTGCTACACGTACAACATAAACTACATGTAGTATGTAGCCATTCGGTTTACACAAATTTCGCAAAACTAAAAGTGATTTTCTTTTTGCTCTCCGAAAGTAACTTTCTCCGGTTTAGTTATTCAGTAACTGAGTTTTCCTTGCCATTTTTTCGTGTGAACGTCCCGAGACGCCCAGTTAACTGAGCTGCTAAGATTCTCAAAGTTGTAAATAGTTGCTCAAGACCAAAAATATCAGGGGAGGCCGGATTTACCCCGGTCGAACTTGCCCCGGTCTCCCCTACACAAAACGTAACACCACGACATGACGATAATAACTGACAGCATTCAATTCATTTATCCCCGTTTTACTTTACTTTTGACACTCTCTGATAGATTTTAGTTACATGTATTTACTCATTAAAATATTCACTTAACATTTTTCCGTGTCCGTGTTTTCTGGAGCTTTGATAAGATATTTATGGTTTTGCACCTTACTGTACCATTTAGCGGTAATAATTTTCATTCCATTTTTGAATGCCTTAATAGCGTAATTTACAACATAAAGGAGGTAGCCGGATGAATATTGAACGATATGAAAAGTGTTCCCACATCTTGAAGTTTATTAGTTTGTTAGGACTGCCGGATTTAGATAAAAAATAAAAAAGAACCTTCCTGATTGGAACAAGTATATAGAAAAGTTTATCTAGCACCTTACCTGAAATTACAGATTTACCTACTTTTAGATTGTAGGAGACACAACCACGAGCATTTCGAACGTGATTTGAATTTTTCTCTGCCGATCCCGGATTTTACTGGAAACGGATTTAGGATTAGAGTAAATTCATGGCGGGCGATAATTGTTCACACTATAAAGGTGAGGTCAATATTCGGCCCCCACTTCAGTTTTTTTTATTGTTTCGCCATATGTAGATACATAAAAATGAACAAAAACTGTATGTATATACAATTATTCATAATTACTACTGATTACCTTAGTGGACCTCCTTGTATAACACTAGGTTAAGTGACGGGGGTATCCTAGCAAAATGACAGATAAATGTAATTCTGGAAATGAATTATGATAATGTTTAGTGTATAAATTTATTGTTATTTTGATACTTAATATGTCATATAGGGATCGGATTGAATGGAGATTTTTTATGTACATTGCGGCAATGAATAGCAGTAGCTGAACTATATATCCTGTGGAGCGCGTTAGCGCTCCTCAGAAGACATGTAGATCAGCTACTGCTATTCATTGATGCAATGTACATGAAAAAAGTTCATTCAATTTATCATATATTTACGTTACGATGAACTGCAGTAAAAAAAATACCATACTTAATATTTTTGATATTATTATCGGACAGAAAACCATAAAAAAGGAACAGCCAGAATTTGTTGAAACGAAAATATATATATAGAATCTTATAATATTCAACACTTAAAACTCCTTTCATTTTTGAAAGTTGATCTTATATGATGGTGTTTTTTTTGCATTAAACACCGCATATCATATATCTAAAAAAGTTTATGTCCGCACTATTTCAAATCATCGGTCACCACAGTAACCATCAAGGATACTCGTTGGCCGAGCACCCGTCGGCAGTAAGCATAGAGCTCATTTGAAGTTAAATGTACAGCCGTTGAATGTGCTGTTTACCAAAATAAACTGCAGATGTAAATGATGGTAAGTTGGTGGATAAAGTGCCCTGTGTCATTACAAAGTTCTATGAGTTTAATGTGCAAGTTGATGTCACGGAGATTACCCAGCCGGACGTTTGGGCGTTAGAAAGTTCGTGACAACAAGGAACCGATTGCGAGTTGGAAGTCAGTATTTAATATTACAATGTTATAAGTAATTTTTTTAATTTTGAATAAGAAAGAATAACAATAATACTGCAATGGTGCATCATTAACGATTTTTGTTTATTATTATTTCTCGCAACTACGTTATCTCGGAGAAGGGGAGATAACTCTTCTCAGAAACAGTACTATGCGTAGTAATATGATTTGTGATTGTGTGTGAAATCAGCTGACTGGTTGCACGATAATCGTTGTATTCATAGTGTATTCGTGGTCTAATGGCAGTTGTTTTCAGTTGGTAGATTCATGTACAGAACAAACATCAAGAATGTAAATATATTGATATACATGAAGTAAGCGTAGTGATACTTTGAATTAGAAAAACATGCAAAATGTTCGCAAAATTTAGAATATTTCAAACAATGTCAACTTGCCTATATATTTTATACTTCTTTAGCATCTGTCCATACATATATTCCCTCTACAGAATCGTTTTGATGTTGCGGGTTCGAGGCCTACTTGGGGCTGTCGCTAGGTACTGGCCGTAGGTCGGTGTTTTTTTCCGGGAACGCTGGTTTTCCCCCACCACCAAAAACTGACACGTCCTTAAATTACCATAATTGTTAATAGGACGTAAAACACTAACAATTTTTCTTATGTTATATCCCAACCGGTCAAATACCTATTAAGCATGCCTAACATGGCCAGTTCACAATTTCACATAATCATGAAGATTTGATTATCAATGTTTATTTTTGTAAATACCGATACATTTTCTGTTTTGGCATCGAACCAAAACATTTCATTATATTACGCATGTTTTTTAAGTTATGTGCAGCAGTGATAACTCATAAATTTGTATTCTGCAAAAGTAATCTTTCCCCTGGAGAACTACTTAAGGTTGAGATTGTGTGATAGACAAAGATATGCAGAGAGATATATATAAAAAAACTAATAATAAGACTAATAAACACTTGATCATTATTTTATTTTGTCTTTTGCCCATATTACATTATTTTGTATCTTTAACATTAGACAATTTAAGCAAGGAAATTTATCCTTGTCTGACGTTTTTTGAATTACTGATGTTGAAAGATATTAATGGTAAGCAATTATGAAAAAATAGACTCATTTTAGAACTATGTAAATAAACGTGTCCGAAATGGGAACTTTTCATTAGTATTAAAATTTCACGTACTTTTCTGTTTAAATCTTCAATAAAAAGAACATTACTATTCCTTGAAATAGTGTAACATTCGGTATCAAAATAACAGTTGGAATATGTTGCACACAATGATGATAAAATTTCATATAGTAATTATGTCATATCAGGTGGACTTGTATTTCCGCACCTTTAATACCCACACAGGTTTAAGTCAATGAGGTCCCATTTGTAATAATGATTCTGAAACTAACTGTTCATGATTCCTATATCCATACCTTGTTGTTTTTATCTTGATTTGAAATTCCAAGTAGGGCCCGACGCTAATGTTAAATCTCCATTGGGACATCGGAAGTGGACGTTCGCCCCGGTAGAGATGATATTTTGCCAACTCGCAGCACGCGCTTCCGGGAAATATGATGTTTGTCTCCCCGTCATTTAACATACATGTATTAACACTCTTAGATAGTTGAGGTACACCATACCATTCATATTTGCCTCGTTAAAAATATAAAATTAATTTATGTGGCATTTCTTTGTCATCTTTTACCTTTTATCATTCAGAAATGTGAAGACACAGAAGAACCACCATGGCAATGTTTGCCATTCTCCTGTTGTTAACCGCACTTTGGACAGGGGAGGTAACCTCGTACACAGCGTGTAAAAACGCAACGCAACACTTCCAGGGTTACACCTATACGATCGACCCGGTGACGTCAGAAAAGGTGTGGTCCCACTGTAAGTTCCATAATCCTAGGTTCGACGCCCTTCTGTGTGGGATAGAGGGATCGACCGACCAACACTATATATGTGATCCCGACAAACTTATTACGTCACAAGGTACGGTTTTGAACACGTCACAAAAAGTGACGTTATTTTTTTTTATTTCAGTGTGTTTAAACCTCGTTAACTGATCATGTACGGAGATGTTCCCCAATATACTTTTGCTTGTCCACGTCTGGTTTTGGAACATAGGTCTTATGTTTTCAAAGATGATTGGGCAACGCAGGTGATACTCCATCTTGTAACAATATTGACAACAGACCCAATAGGAAGATGCAAGATAAAATGTCACAATGTTGCAAGTAGTATTAATTGCCTCCAACGATCACATGGAGAAACAATTTTCTTTCAACCCCATCCCGACCCCATCTCTCCCATTCAGGGGACATAACAACATTTGTATTATATGACAAATTCACATAACTATGAAAAGTCAGTTACCTCCCTTCCTTCGATTATATTAAGGAATTTGTTATGATGATCTGATGAGTTTTTGTCTCTTTTTTAAAACAGGTTTAGCAGCGTAATAACAAATGGAAAACAAATTGATCATTTCCTTTTAAAAATGTCTGCCTAGATGATTCGAATCAATCTATGTAATTGAACTCGATTTCTTAGACTTCATGTAAGAGGGGAAGTAACTCTTGGATACATAGAGTATAATAGCTCGCCACACCACAAGAATACCTGAACGTTTACGGAATAAATAATTAACCGACAGTTATACAGCAAATAAACAGCACAAGAGAAGTGTCTACATTACTCATTTAATCTTGATATCAATTAAATAATATATCACTCATGTATTCTATATTTGCTCCGCATAACCCCTTTCAGCATGCTATAATCCCTACGTTTAAATCAGCCGTTTCATTTATATAAATGTGTGTATAGGACATTTCTTTAAAATGACACGGTCTTCTAAAGATTGCATAACGATAAATTAAACATTTAAACGTGTGTACTCACGCGAAAACATGCACAAATCTTACTGCATAAATATCCGGATAAACAGTTTTGATTAATACTACATTTTGGAAATGTGCCAAACTGTATACAAGCTTAATAAATAACAAGTAACAAGCTTAAATATGATCATGTTAGTAACGTTAACAGTATCAATAAATGAAATTGCTCGCACCCGGAATATCCTGTAATTCGGATTGACCAATCAGAATAGTCCAATGACATCTAGCTTTAAATATACTTTGAACTAGAAAACAATAAATATGTGATGTTGGTCATCGACTTCCTTAATTTACAATTACCATCGTGTGTGGTGGAGCTCGGGGAGGGGGGTTCGGGGAGGAGGTTGGATGTTGGGGGTGGGCAGGGGGGAGGGAAGGGGGGCTGCTGGTTCTCATCGCACGATCGTATGTGGGGTCCCTGCAGTATTGGGTTCTTTCGTCCGTGTCTCAGCTTAAGAAAGTATATAAAAATTAAATCTGAAGTACCCTTGACCATACTTATGACATTTCGCCGTTCCTCATTCTGCCCCATTCTTGCAACTTTTATACTGCAATAAGAGTCGGACGAGGCTGTATTTTATCACGTGAAAAGATGAGGCAACTAACGCTTTCTTCTGCGTTCTCATCTTAAGGAACAATGATGAGATGTCTGAGGTACCTTTGTCAGTTCTTATTTTCATCGTTTCTCATTCTACTCCCCCAGCAAATTTTAAACTTCCGGTGGGGGCGGAGAGGATGTTATACCTCATCGCATGATCACGTGAGGCGATTAATGTTAGGCCCCTGCAGAATCGGGGGCTTTTCCTGTGCTCTCAACGGGAAGGACAGTGAAGAGATATCTGATGTAGCAATGACGATACTTGGGACGTTGAATCGTTTCCAAATATACTCCTTTCTTTCAATTCTCATGCTCTGAGAGTTGTTCTGATTACATCTTCCGTTCAAAATCCATAAACAGTCAATAAAAGTTGTATTGTTACCCGTCATAGCTCGGCAGATTCCGTACCTAAATCAAGGGTACCGGAATCAGCCGAGGTTTGCCGATTGCCAATATTTAGAATTCTCTCATGTACCGTATATTACGTTACTTTGTGTGAATTTTCTTCAACACCTATTTTATCAAATAACAAACATACACCTATACATATACATATGTACTTGATACATTTTTTTAAAGATTAAAATATCAAATGTTAATATGAGAATTCCTTCTTTGCATAGTTGAGATTTAAACTTTTAAGAGCAGTGACATGTTCTTTATTCCAGTTCTTGCCGTGGATAGAGCGCTTAAGGCCATTCAGACACAGACGTCCACACAGTGTACAGCGCCGAATGGAGAGGTACAGAGCTTCATCGTTGCCATGGCGCTCATCAACCGAATCCGAATTCCAGATTTCAACGATCCTGATATGTACGTAGCTTGGTATTAAATGCAGAGTCTTTTATCGTCTGACGACTTCGTATTTATTCAAGCAGCATCGTCGTTCAATTATTCCATAGACCTTTCTCTGATATCTGCCCGGCACGCGCCATATCAGCCCAGCACAAGCTATATCTGCCTTGCACATGCCATATCTACCTAGCACGCGCCATATCCGCCATATCTGTATATTGTGTTTTATTATATGCAGAATGTGATAAGCTCATGAAATATATATTTTCTGCATGTTTTACTTGTTATTGCTAATAATATTGATGGTATAGAACAGTTTTTGATAGGAAGGATACCAAATGACAATTTCCATATCCTCCTCTATATCAGCCCCTGGGGGTGATACGGACTAGGAGATGGGAATGGTCTCAACCAAAGGCCATAATTGATAAATGGCATAGCACATATTTTATAAAGACATGTTTTACATAAAATATATGACCCTTTCTGTATTGTTTATAAGCTATCCTCAATTAACAATGTACTGCCATTTGTACGCCATTCCCATTACAGCTGCATCAACGATTGTGGTCAGATCCAACCAGTCCTTAACTCTTCGCCAGGGGAGATAACCAGTGCACAAAAGAACATTATAATGGAAAACTTCGCCACTTACCTCAGAACGGAATGGGGCATGGGTGCATGCGGAAATGACGTCATTCTCCTCTACTGTCAGGAATTCGATTTGGTAAGAAATAGAAATGATTTTACGCTACATTCTGTAAATAAACCTATATTAGCGTACTCATATATATATTTTTTATCATTAACGTGAAAAACATATCGATCGCTATTGTACTTCTTTTGATAGAGATTTATAGATAACATCGGAAAAGTAGAGGCACCGGACGTGGAAGATCATACAACTTGGTTACATTAGGTTTATATGTCATACAGGTTCTCGTGAACCAACATGGTCATACAGGGGATATTTCCCCTTTTCCAGTCTGTGGCTTTGGACGCGTCAGTTATATTTCTTGGTTGTTTGAATTAGTTTGTTACGACCCTACCTCGTTAAGTTTACCTGTTATCGTAGTTTGTGACGTCACACTAAATTTGATATACTATGCAATCAATCAAGTTCATACAATTAGCCCTAACACGGATATGAAGAATTCCAATATTGTCAATATATTCACCTATTTACACTTGCGCTTGTCAATATCATATGAAAGTTAATGGTATGTTAATTTGAATAACATGAATATTCATAAATCAAATAAATTACCATATTTGTATAGCTCTAGCTGATTTCTTACGAGTCTCCTTGGGCTGTTGCTATAGCAAACATTTAAAAGAAAAGATAAAAGTCTATCATATATGATGAGATGAGAGGTAATAACTTGATATGACCTTGACGTGAATCTTTGTTGTTTGTTTCAGCTGTACGTGTCCGTGGGTTACGGAGCCGGAAATCTCGTCACCTCCGCCGTGATCGCTGACATAGTGTCCACATTCGGTTCATATAAGGCCGGGGGAAACATCGCCGAGGGACTATTTGTTATCTCGGAGAAACTCCGCGTCACACTGCGTAGTGTTACACCGGCTCACATCCTTCTGATCCTGAACATGATCGGGCTTACACTGCTAGGGATTTTTCTGTTCTTTTTCCTGTATTTGCGTGACCTTGAGTATAACGTATGGGGACGGGAGGGTGTTTGGTGCGTGCTGGGGGAGATGGTGTATTGGCTGTCTGGGGCGTGGATCTTCCACGGTCTCCTCTACTTTGTCATCTATACTTCCTTAAAGGCGCCATATGCCGGGATTCTCGCGGCCCTTCTCGCCGGTGTTGTCATGGTAGCCCTATTTGTGTACGAAAACACGCTCTTCAAGAACCCCTCGATTCTCTCAACATCGAACTCGACCATTTAGACAGTAGCCCGGCAATATTGGGAACCGTCGGCACTTTCCGTAAATGAAAAATTACGCCGGTTCCCGCTGAGTAGCCCGGATGTAACAGACATCTTGTGACTGACATCCGGTTGTGTCATGACCTTTCTATTTTGGGAGATCATGGTAAAAGCTGTGGAGTACACTTATAGTGACATTGCAAGTCTATGGTAATCATGTTAGTTCGGACCTCGGAGATCCTAATACACAGTAACATCTTATAATCCGGAATTTCGATAAAGGTCTCACACAATTTTAATAAGCGAATCCGCATGTGTTTTATACGATTTTAATCCCTACCTAAAATCTTTGTTCTGGTTTGATACAGTGCCTCCGAGTAATTTAAATAGGTAATTGTTGACATATTTTACATTGAATGAAATCTACAGATAATTGAATTTTAGAAAAATGTATAGTTTTAGTAGATTTTAAAATTGGATGGCTGATTGATGTGGGGTCGAATGTCATGGGGTTTTTCCCGTCCCACTTCACAGGTTTGGCTTGTAAACTTCTGGTTGTCAAAAGCAGACGCCTGTAGCGCTCTTATATGCCACTAAACTCACCAAAAATTGCCTTTTGAAGCATTTGTCAGGTATATGTATCTGTGAATCTAGATAGTATTAAGGCTATTAGCTCAAAAGCTTAGTAATAACATATAGTAAATGATTTAGTTGTGTGAGTCCTAAACATATATATATATACATATGGTTATCTTGATAGGCCGGGCTCTGGTAGTCCAGGTTTGTAAAGTGCCTAACTCTTTAAGCTGTGTATATGAAGTGCTTTCAACTATATTTTGTACATTTTAATTGCCTAACTTAAGTTATAAATTTAAAGTGCCTAACTTATAATGCCTAGTTTGTATATATGAGCCTTTTTGCTGACCTTTAGTTTTATACATAGTGCTGGACACTACGAATACAAAAACGTATATTTTACAGAAATAAAATTTCTCTTTCCTTTTTTGTTTTCATCAGCTTATCGTTTGTTAGGATTATGTAACAGAGCTCCATTAGGGGTCGAACCCAGGCCCTCTGGTTTATAAGTCTTACATTCTACTAGTCTCGTTCAACCAGACGCTTGCGCAGACTACAAGAGTCTGGTTGAACGAGACTAACAAACTGCCGAATGAGTTAAAGAGAAATTCTCCCTCGCTGAATTGTTCTCGTTCAACCAGACGCTTTATCATGCACTTGTACGAAGCAGACAACAAGAGTCTGGTTGACCGATACTATTGCTGAATCGGTTGAAAGCGGCTAGTATTTTACCATGTGATGTCACACTAACGAAAAATTTAAAAAATCATGATGAAATTCCATGAAGATGTGAATGTTTAAAAAAAAAACAAAGAAAAAGGTTGTGGAATGAAATTAGCCTAAAATGATTTAACTAAATGTCTACAAAAGTTTTATTTATAGGATACAGAAGTAATTTAGGGCTTTTAAATGAACACTTGGAACAAATCGACCCACTATAGTAAAAACTGTCTACATGTATAACAGTATCAAAGGAAATTGTGTGCAGGTGAGAGTTCCACATGATAGTCGAAAATTAGATTAAGTTGATTACGGTCAGTCCATTATCCGATCCGAAAAAACTGCATATATTTGTTCGATTTATAACAGAAGCCTTGTGTTCGATTAATTGGAGAGCGGAGACGGGAAATATTTATTTGCAAACAGAAAGAAAGGGGATTATTTCACATCTGTTTCTGCAAAACAATAATGATAGCTTTATTTTTAATATTTTCATTATATATGTATAAGTGGTGCATAGCGGTTCTATATAGTCAAAAATAATATTTTACCAATAGGTTGATATTTTCACTCCGTAAATAGGAAATATTTATTTTCTCCCATCCAGGAAAAAATGCTTCTTTCAAGCATTATTTTTATGCAAAGCGCACTGGTGTAACATGACGTCATTCAGTTTTTAATGTGACGTCGCACCGTTTCCTTCTAATACTCGGGGCATAAAATGGACAGAAAATAATCTTTCTTTGAATGAAATTGCAGAATAACATAATTTCCCCCCTTGGAACAAGATGTTTGAATTTCAACCTGAGGTGTAAGATTCCTTAATCTGAAATTGCCAATTGCTATTATTCTGACGTCATAGTAGATACACGGGACGTCAAAAGGGGGTTATTTATTCTAATCTTGCCCTGATGTTCAGGTGAGACAAGGAGCTAATATATAAATCTAACTCTCATCGTTACACAAGAGTATGAAACCATTGAAGTACAGGTCTTGAGGAAACAAACCATATACACAAGCCATACACAAAACGTCATGTCTAAACGAATCCCAACAACCAACGACACTGTGTATTGTTGTGTCGGGTAGGTATGAGTTACGACCCTAAGGTGGGCTTAACTGGCAGTTGTGAGTCAAGAAAAAGACACACTAATATAAAAGAAAACCCGGATTGATTAATTTGAAACCCTTTAAGAGCGTATTGATCAAAACCAAGAATGATCATCGTGTGGAGGGGTGATTGAGTGGAACTTTGGTCTGGAGTTCATTTTTCGAATGTTGGATAACAAACGAAATGATTCGGCATATAAAGACAGGTATGCGTAAATCAAAAGAGCATGTTTAGCAAGCTAATTCAATTTTAGCAATTTAGCTAACCGTAAAATATGACCTTATGAAAGTCACTGAAGCGTAACGTATGGGTCGCAGTGACCTACATTCATATCATGGTGTAGTTCTCCTGAAGGATGTATCTGCAGATATATTTGTTCGACTTTTGATAGTGGTCAATCTGTCCGACTTATGATAGCGATCAATCTGTTCGACTTTTAATAGAGGTCAATCTGTCCGACTTTTGATAGAGGTCAATCTGTCCATTTGATAGAGGCCAATATGTCTGACTTTTAAAAGAAGTAAATCTTTTTCGACTTTCGATGGATATCAATCTGTCCGACTTTTGAAAGCGTTTTACTGTCCGGCTGTTATTGAGGTCAATCTGTCCGAATTTTGATAGAGGCCAATCTTTCCAATTATTGTAAGCGGTCAATCTGTCCGACTTTTAATAGAGGTCAATCCGTCCGACTTTTGATATAGGCCAATATGTCCGACTTTCAATAAAGGTTAATCTGTCCGACTTTTGATAGAGGCCAATCTTTCTAATTTTTGTTGGTGGTCAATCTGTCCGACTTTTGATATAGGCCAATATGTCCGACTTTTAATAGAGGTCAATCTGTCCGAGTTTTGATATAGGCCAATATGTCCGACTTTCAATAAAGGTCAATCTGTCCGACTTTTGATAGAGGCCAATCTTTCTAATTTTTGTTGGTGGTCAATCTGTCCGAATTTTGATAGAGGCCAATCTTTCCAATTATTGTAAGCGGTCAATCTGTCCGACTTTTAATAGAGGTCAATCTGTCTGACTTTTGATATAGGCCAATATGTCCGACTTTCAATAAAGGTCAATCTGTCCGACTTTTGATAGAGGTCAATCTTTCTAATTTTTGTTGGTGGTCAATCTGTCCGACTTTTGATATAGGCCAATATGTCCGACTTTCAATAGAGGTCAATCTGTCCGACTTTTGATAGAGGCCAATATGTCCGACTTTTGATAGAGGCCAATCTTTCTAATTTTTGTTGGTGGTCAATCTGTCCGAATTTTGATAGAGGCCAATCTTTTTTGACTTTCGATGGAGGTTAATCTGTCCAAATTTTAATAAAGGTCAATCTGTCCGACTTTTAATAGAAGTCAATCTGTCCGACTTTTAATAGAGGTAAATCTGTCCGACTTTTAATAGAGGTCAGTCTGTCCGACTTTTGATAGCTGTCAATCTGTTCGACTTTTGATAGCTGCCGATCTGTTTGACTTTTAATAGCTGTCAATCTGTCCGACTTTTGATGGCGGTCAATATGTCCGACTTTTAATAGCGATCAGTTAATATGCCAGACTTTTGATAGCAATCAATACATGTATGCACGACGTTTGATAAAGGCCTATATCTGTCCGACTTTTGATAGAGGTTTATCTATACTACTTTTGATAGGTCTATATTACCTTCTTTTGATGAAGGTAAATGCGTCCGGTTTTTGATAGTAATTAATCTGTACTACTTTTGATAGAGGTCAAATCCGGCATTTAATGAAAGGCAATGCGACATTTTTGATAGCGGTCAGTGTTAGATTATTTGTCCGACTTTTGATGGAGGTCAGTATGTACGACTTCCTAATGATGTTAATTTGTCCAAAGGTCCATCCGCCCAACTTTTTGATAGATGTCCATCCGATATTTAATGAAATTCATTCTGACCGACTTTTAATGAAGGTCAATCTTGTTACAATGTCGGCCTTTGAAACTGGTCGATATATCGGACGCTTGATAGAAGCACTCAAATGTATGTACACACTGTTTTCGTTGTACATACACAAAGATATTAAGTAGGTAAGAGAAATATAAAGGGTTCTTTTGATTTTTCGTTACACTGATAAAATACTTGTGATATTTTGTTGGCAATATTTTCCCTGAGTCACGCAAACATTGAAGCGGAAGTATTTTACTACAGTTATCTCCACATGAACGGACTAACACAGTAGACGTGTTTCCGTGACAGTTTTCATGTAGTATAATGTTTCAGCTCAGTAAGTAGGCCCGAGTATACAAGGTTTTACCTGTTGTAAACCTGCTCTACGTATGATTGAACATCACGCTTGTAAACAGTACGGTGTTGCAGTTATAGCGACCGCTATGGCACAAGTGTTCTTGTTTTTAGTTTGTTTGTTTATTTTTTTCATTTCACCAAAAAACGACGAAGCATTATCATCACGTACTTCTTATGCAAGCAATTAAGTGATATTGTACATTGGTAATCAGTATTTACGATTCTCACGAATTCTTACTACTGTGGCTGGCGGATGATCTGCATACGTAGTTATAATTAGTGACCAGTGATACTGGACTCTAAAGCATTGTTTTTCATCTAGCCCATGCAAATTCGAGTAGAGAACAGACTTGCTGTATTCTACTGAATGTTATCGTAAGAGTCAACTTCATTACAGACCCCTGTAGATCCGCCGGTTTTCCAATGTAAAATTTGGAAAACCAAAATTGATCTGCTGCCCTATTGCATCATGCTGACCTCCGTCGTTTTGTTCTCTTTTCCTCCTTATTCTTCTTTTCGCATTTGTCTCTTAGCACTTAGTCTTTAGAAGACCTTAAGTATTTCGTTGAAGATAAATTCTGTGAGAAATAACAACAAACATGAACTACCGCGTCAGATGGGCTCTTGAACATGGAATCATTCACGTTAACTAGACGCTTGTAAAATTGATTTCTCCGCTCTTGGCCTACATGATCTTATGAATTTTGACGATAAAATCGCGTGATGCTAATCATTTGTATAATGATGTAAACGATATTCAGTCGACAGTGTGAAGTTGCATATATTATGTAGATATAAATGGTGATAATTACACTTCACTCAATCAAAATGAAATCCAATAATCCATGTCTCATATTAGTAAACCAGTGTTCGTGTTAAATATGTTTATATTGTATAATTAATTCAGTTTTAAAAATAATGAAGAGTCTTTAAAATCAGTCCCCCTTTGAATTATCCTCGATAGGAGACCGAAAATTAGAAACGCCCGAATGTATTATTTAAAGAAAATTTAAGCTTATTTAAATTCTGGAGAATGACACAGCAGATCCCATTAGGGTTCGATTCTGTTAGGGGTTTTGTCTTTTCTAGTTCAACGCAAAAAAATATCTTTGATATTCCAGAAGTTCGGCAAATGATAGACCCACTGTGAGGTGACTAATTTTTATCTCCCATTAGAATATTCCCGTTTACCTGTTTATAGGACACAGATGTGATGGCACGATTTCTCACCCCGACATGATTTCTCACCCCGACATGATTTTTCACCCGACATGATTTCTCACCCCGACACGAATTTTCACCCGGGTAAGAAATCGTGCAAAAATTGCTGTGTTT